GATCCGGCCAATATACCATGTATCATATGCAGCAGCATAGTATTCTTCATTTTTCAAAGACATTTCTTCACAAAATGTTTTTTCTTCTGCTCTCATTTCCCAATTCACTTTTTTCGGAATACAGCTTCGACCTTCAAAGGTTGCGGCATCTTCTATGCTTGGAGCCCTTGTTATAATAATAATAATAATAATAATAATAATAATAATAATAATAATAATAATATATATTTATTTAGCACTTGTTGTTGACTGCAGTTTATTATTTTTGCTTTTTAATAGGCTCTATTCTCGGCTCTATTCCTACTTGACGCTGTTCTGTTACTTTATTTATTTTTTTTTTGACAATTTTGCATACTTTTGCATCTGAGATTTCCATCTGTTCATAACTCGGTTGATAACTTTCCGTTTTTACTAGCGTTTTTATTGGAAAATAGAGAACACAGTGTTGATTTTTTCACCAACAAATATTTGTCCCAGACTTTTTTAGAAGGCTTTAGGGTCTAATGGTATGTGCTAATGTAATGCAGGGCTGGCCGCCAACACTGGAGCGAACTTAGAGTCTATTTTTCTTGACAGTAGGATACTGCAGTGAAAACTCAAAGAAAACAACAGTTTAATCGCTAATAAATAACATAAAATAGCAAGAAATTTGCCTGTCAGTCTATCTTTGCCGACTGCGCTGACTCTTACTATGAACAAATAAACGCGCATGCGCGGTACGCGATTGTACGTTAAAACAAGTGATGGTGTACGCGATTGCCAATGCGATTGTCAGATTGAGACAGCGATTGTGGGGCAGCGAATGCGATTGTAGGATTGTTTTACAGCGATTGTGAGATTGCAAACCCGATTGTGGGACTGCGAGAGAGATTGTCACGGAAATTTAAGTGATTGCAAGCGATTGTTGAGAATTTGTGACAGTATTGCGGCAAGATGTTACCCCCTCGCAAAATATATACTATGTGACAAAAAAAACGCATCACTCACTAAAAGTGTATATTTTGGTAACAAATTTTCTTGGTATATACCAACTAGGTAACAAAAAAAAATGCATCTCCCACCAAAAGTGTATATTTTTTGAACAAATTTTTTTGCTCTTGATCAAAATTAATGTAAACATGTGTAGAAAATTTGTTAAAAAAATATATTGTAATTTTCGTGGCTGATGCGTTTTTTTTGTCATTCAGTATATTTAGTGTAATTTATAGACTGTGAACGCTAAATTTTTCAAATTTTTCTGGGAAAAAATTACATTTTACTTGGTGCATATTTTCAAATTGTGAATAACCATCACAATCTAAGAAATATTATTATAATTTATATCACTACAATGTTGCTTAGACTGTGAATTGACAATATTTTTTAGACTCAAGTTTAAGAGAGATGAAATCAATATTTGTCTATTCCTGGCTCTTGAATTCAATTTTATGATAAGTCACAGTCTAAACACCTAAAACTTATCAAAATATATTTTTTCTGCGATTGACAAGAAATGTCAGCATTTTTGACCGGTTGACAGGTCGCAAAACTCAATATTCTGGTATTTTAATTATTTTTCAATAGTTGCTAAGGAATTGATGAATAACAATACGAGAATCACTTTTTCGGCCTAGGCCGGGAAAGTGATTCTTGTACTGCTGAATAATTGGAACAAAAAGACAAACATTTAACAGATATTTAATGGATCGCAGAAAAAATAGTATGTGTATTTCGGTGGAAAAGCACATTCTCGGCCTTCGGTGTTTGCCGGCCTCGGCTACGCCTCGCCTGTCAACTTACACCGTCGGCCGAGAATGTGTCACTTTTCCACCTAAATACACAATATACTATTTCTTACAATCGCCCTATAAAGCAGGCTTTGTCGAATTTTCAGGGATTGTAGTCCCTTTATTGAGATAAGACCTAGGCAGCGTAGTGGATAGTGATCTGCTTCGCATGCCGATGGTCCCGGGTTCAAGTCCCGGCAAGGTGCATGGTTGTATTTGTGAATGTTTCCTTCTCTACATGTAATTACTTAACGGTGTTTGTAGAGTGTATCCACAAAAAAAAAAGATTCAGTGAAAAATTTAGCTTTCTATCTATAATAGAAAAAAAGTTCCTTCCTCGATTCCTTCTTACTAAAACGATGAAATTTCAATTTTTTTTTTGTCGAAATTTTGTATCCTAATGGTCAATCAAGATACCCCGAACTCCATACACTAAATTATTCTCAGATTTGAAGCCGAAATCTATGAAAAAAGGCACTCAGAAAAATTGAAAAATTGATAAATCACCCCAAATTGCTTAACACGATTTTATCTCAGGAACTATAAGTGCAAAAGAGCTGAAATTTTCAGATTGTAGTCTTTTGGAAGGGATAAAATTTAATGAAAGTTTCAGCTTTCTATCTATAATAGAAAAAAAGTTAGCAGGATAAGATGGTGGAAAAATATATGAATGAAGTAGAAGAAGAACTGTCAACTGTGCTAAATACCATGCAGGAATGGAAATATGGATTACTTACAAAGAAAATAGTTTTCTTATTTAATTTTTCGTTCATTCTACCATTTTTATTAAACACTATTTTCTCACCACTAAGTAATACTTTTGTTGCATCTCCCATGATTCCCATAATTCTTGAGTCAAAAAAACAAAATTTGGTAGGATCTTTACATACATATACGGTACAATATGTTCCAGTCGCCTCAGAATTATTACCATGTGAATGCGTAAGAAAATAGGGGTCACTGTCTCAGTTGCCTCAAAATTAGGATAACTGGAACAGTTGACCAAAAAAAATTGGAACACTTAACCAGAACAAAGTGGAACACTGAACCAGAACAAACATTCACGCAATTCTTGAGATTTTAATGAAAATACTCAAAAATACGTTAAAAGTAGGATTGGAAGTAAGAGAAATTTACAAATACTTCCTCGAATACTTCCATGTATTCCCAAATTATTCTCATGTACTTCCAGAGTATTCTTATATACTTTCAGCATATTCCCAAGGATTTCCAAGTATTCTTAGGTATTTCCGAGGGTATTTCCTGAGTATTACCAAGTATTCGTAGGTATTCCCAACAAAATGTACATACAGTGATTTGCATGAGTAATTTGCCCCTCAATAAAAGCATTTGCTCCCATTTATTCTTATGAGCCAATATATAGGATATCCCAATTCTACTGCAACTATCTTCTGGCTCACCCTGTGTATGTAAAATTATTTATATTTTTGTCTGTTCATAGTTCCAAACAACAAATTTGTCATCTACATAGCGAAACCAGCAAGTAGGTTTGTTTGTGGCCGAGCATTAGACTCTTAACCTAAGGGTCGTGGGTTCTATTGTGGGCCTATTTCTACCGTGGGCCTATTTTTACCGGGGACCTGTATTTTCCGAGAATTTGTTTTTCTTAAAGGATCCATTTTCAACTAGTCCCATGTTGGGCGCCAATTTGTGTAACCCCTTTTGTTAATGAATTAACAAGAGGCTCATAATATGCTCGGTTTGCTCAGCGAAAAATTATTAGGTGTGGGTTGATAGTTTAAGCAGTAAAGCAGTACAGAATGGCAAGGGCGCCACTGAATTAAAATAATGATAATACTAATAAAATTGCTTAAAATATAGATAAGATTCTTGTTAACCCTACAACTTTGCTATATACACGTAATTAATTAAAATGTCCAATAATGACTACATAATTAAGTTTTCGAAAAATGATCTAGAAAATTTCATACGACCTTACGACAATGACGTACATACAATCTGTAGGACAAGGCCTACATTATTTATGAATCAATAATAATTATTAGAACAGACTTATTTCAACTGTTGAGCTAGGGTAAATCCAAAAATAAAATATTAACCTATAATGGTTAATAAACTAACCATTGGAAAACTCTAACAATTGTAAATGAGCCAATGTTTAACAGTAAGAATTAAGAAGTTAATTGTAAAATAAATTAAGTACGAGTTATTCAGATTTAGGGCCGATTTATTCCCCTTCTGATAAAGTGTCAAGTATGCAATCTGACATCTCATTGCCAGTTATCTATCGACCAATAAAAATAATGGAGTTGAATAAACCGGGCCTCAGAAAAATAAGTACGTGAATACCTATAGAATAATGATAAATGTACAAACTATAGGATGTGATGTTTGTTTTCAACTATAATGGTTTATTTTTCTGGTACAGTTATGTAAAACAAGAGGTAAAACTATTGCATGTAGCCTAATATAGGTATACACTCGGGTATACATTAGCATAATGGCATTACATGAAATTACTTCCTCATGATAGCAGTACGATGGTATTACATTGGAATTAACGGAATTACTTCAAAAAAGCATTTAATGCGCAATACATGCACAAATTTTGGTCCAGTTGCTACCCCCTCGGTAATTTTTCAAGTTCATGTATATCTGTCAATTGCTCCAAAAACTAATCTTAATTTGTAGTTGGATTTTTTTTTTGACAAATGAGTAGAGGAAAATTGACGCACGTCACTGCCTTAAATAAAATTTTCTGGAAAATTCAGATGTTTATGGAAAAATCGAAGAAAAATGGTAGCAGAGAGAAAATTGTGAAAATTTCAGAGAAGTAAGAGGAAAGTAAAGAGCCCATTATAGGAAAGTTTCAAAATTTTCCCATTAAAAATCACTTCAGGAAAAATTTCGGAAAATCACTTTTTTAAGTCAAATTAAGCAAAAGTCACCCTCTTACATTTTAATTTTTTTCTGGAAAAGTAGCAGAGAGAAAATTGTGAAATTTTCAGAGGAGTAAGAGGAAAGTAAAGAGCTCATTATGGAAAAATTTCAAAATTTGCCCATTAAAAAAAATAATTAAAAAAAAAAAAATCTGGAAAATCACTTTTTATATAGATATGGGTAGGTAATTCCAAAATGGCATAATATGGTCCATTATTAGCAATTTACTCAGGAATTTATTTCAAATTCATAAATATTTTTCTGGTGATGCGATATTCAATATAATTACCAGAGTTTTCTTGTCTTTTTTAGAAAGTCCAAGATATTCTTCAGAATGAAAAATCTTCAGTAGCCAGCTTACATTACGCTAGCAAAACCCAGACTTTTCTAGGCCAACAAATTTCGAATCAGGCAAAATTGGCTCAACTAGTCCAAGCTCAACTGAAAACTGACGACAGCCTTTTGAGTTTGGGACATGCCTTACATTTAGCTGCATCACTTGGCCAATCAGGTAAGAAAATAATAATAATTGTGATATAAAGGTACAGGTAAATTTATCACCTTTATCGAATGGCATTGAAAGGTGATACATTTTACCTGTACCTTTGGACTACAGATTGCGAATAGATAATATAATGTATGATTTTTTTAGGCAAATTTATAACTGAAAGAATTGAAGACATTGTGGTCCAAGCTGATGAAGTCGATGGTAAACTGTTACAGTGGGAAGGTGGCCTTAGCACCACTTCTCTTATAATAACCGGCCTACTACAGTTTCCAGCTTCCAGCCCTCTAAACCAACCCCAAGCTGATAAATTAGCCAACTATTTACTATCCAGATTGACTGTGCAAACTCCTAAAGGAATTTCGGCTCTTTTGGAAGCAGCTCAGGCTTTGGCTACAAGCAAAGTGTCTCCGGTATCGATTTCAGTAACTGGACAAAATTCTGTTACATTGGATAATCCGAATTTGAAGATTCAAGTGTCTGATATTTTTGGAAAACCTTTGAAAACTGCTCTGAGTCCAGTGGTAGCTCAATCTGCCACTAGAATTGCTGACGATGTTGTGGTTTTAGCTAAACAACCTTTGAATGTTGGTGCTAAGGAAACTGAATTTGTTTTACCATTGAAGTAAGAATTTTTTTTCTCAAATAAGATAGTATCTAATGTTACTGTTTTTTTTTTTAGGCTTGAACCCGGTTACTACAAAATCCTCTTAAACGCCGGTCCACATTCCACCACCTTAACAGCTAGGGTTTTAGGACCAGTCCAAGTCAAAACCTTTGAAATTGGTCTTTCAGACGCAGACCAAAGTTCAGCCCCTAAACTGGAAAAACTGACCCACCCAAACAAACTAAACAAAAAACTGCAAGGAGATTCAGGCCAAAACCTACTAGTAAAATTCACTTTGTCTAGGCAAGTGCATCAAGCCTTCCTGCGCCTGTCTTCAGGTAAAAAAGAAATCATTTTCGTTGCCGGCCACGAATCCAACAGCCAATACAAAGTCGAAGCAGACTTGGGACAAGAATTACCAATTTCTGATAGTTTCAATATTGAATTGATTATTGGAGATTCAATAATCACTAATCCATTCAGATGGCAAGTGGGCGAAATTGAAATTAAAATCACCAACGCACCAACAGTAGCTTCACTGAAAACTTTAAGAGGCCCCAAGCCAGAAATTGAACACATGTTTAGAAAACCAGAAAAGAGGCCCGCAAAAGCCGTTAGTTTGTTGTTCACAGGTTTAACTGCGGCCCCTTTTTTGATTCTTTTAATCTTGTGGAGTAGAATTGGAGTGAATTTGAGTAATTTTTCCATGCGGGCAGTACCGTTTCATTTGGGTTTTGGAGCTATTTTGGGGCTTTTTACTTGTTTTTGGTTGAAACTTGATATGTTTGTTACATGCGCTTGGCTTATTCCAGTGGGTGGATTTACGTTTTTTACCGGCCACAGGCTGTTGAGTCATATGGCTAGGAGCAAGAAACCAGAAAAGGCTGATAAGTAATTGTGTAATTATTATTTTTTGTTTGCTGTCTATTTTTTTTTAAAAATAAATAAGCCCTATAGAAACAAGTTCAATCAGTAAGATTTATTGATTTCACACATTTTTAATATAAAATAGGGTATTGATGTAACTTAAAATTAAATTTTTATTTCTAAAATTACAATGCTAGTTTGTTTCTCCTTCTTCGTCGTCGTCTTCAGTACCTTTTATGAAGAGAATGTTGTTGCATCTGATTAGGACTTCCCCTAGATTACCTGGAAATTAATTAAAACATACATAATTATTTATATAGTTGAATTCACGAAAGAGGTTGAATTTTGATCGTTATTTTTAGTTTTGAAGGTTTGCGAGAAGATGAAGGTACAATGCTTAATCAAGCAGAGCGTGGTACTTTTAGTGCTTTAATCAAAGAAAATAAGGGTATCTTCAAGCCGGGGGGAGACCCTACTTCCTATGCAGTTCATTATGTATAAAGACCAATGGAGTAGAAAGTTTGGAATAGGCTTTGCGTCATTCAATTGATTCCAAAATGAGATAGCGCTAGCTGTTCTCTCACTCTATGCCGCAAATATATGTATTGAGTAGATAGGCAAAAGGATATTCCAACCTTCTTACTATTTCATTGATAAAGACACTTGATGATCCGCCTATAGCTGTTCCACCATACTATTTATTTCCTGCACGCAAGCAATAACTGAAATTGACAAACTCTTGGAGGATCATATAATTGAAGAATTCGAGAGCTCATGGGCAGGGTTATGATACCCAGAGTCCAGATGGTAAAAACTTGCGTGTTTGTGTGAACTATCAACGACTAAATGTAACAAGTACCCGCTACTGCGCATGAATGATCTTCACTTGACTAAAAGAACTTTTCATATATCGTGTTTGGATTTGTATCACCAGATAAATGTTTATGAACCTGATCGTAATAAAACTGCTTTTAAGGAACTTATCGTTTTAACAGGATGCCGTTCGGACTGAGAAATGCACCTGGAACTTTCCAGCGCTTGATCGATCAGTTTCGACGTGAACTCAGTACCTACGCCCCGTGACATTGAGCAAGTGCTTTCGTTTTTGCAGTCGTGTAGCTGTGTCGAAGGACTTTGCTGCCATTTCCCGTCCATTGAGTGACCTAACTAAGAAAACTGACTGAACAGCATCAGAACTCGTTTGATACTTTGAAAAATGCACTTATCATAGCCCCAATTTTGCAACAAAATGACAAAACAAAACCATACCTATTGAGGACAGATGCAGGTGGATATGCATTAGGAGCCGTACTTTTACAAGGCGAGAGCAGTAGAATACTCGCTGCATGCGAGAAGAACTACTGTCCGCGGTCCAAGCGTGAGGTACTTGTTGTTGTGTAGACGCTTGACAAATTCAGAGGATATATATGTATATCGAAGGAATGACCATAACTGTGCAAACCAACCATCAGCCTTTAAGATGGTTGCTCAACCTTAAATCGCCAACTGGTAGATTAGCTAGGTGGGCTTTACAAGTTCAAAGTTACGACCTGGTAAAAGGAATCTAGTAGCAGATATGTTATATGTTATCTAGGCTTCCATGCAATCACGAAACCAAGGGGTTCTGTGACATTTGCACCGTAACGATAGAAATGCCGAGACGATCAGCATCAGACATTCAAAAGAGCAATTGAAGGGCCCTGATTTAGAAAAAATCATTAAAGATTTCGAAGACAGGTCAAATGATGAATTTTCCAACTGCACAGATTGAGGGTATCCCATGTTCTATACAGATGTTCCTGTGAAGACTTGGACACTGAGGAAGCCCAACCCTGTACAGTGGAATTTAAAGAGAAAAAAGAACAGCAGCGGGTGTTGTATGCATAATTCACAAAGACATAAAAGAAAAAATGAGCAAATTGAAAGGTTGGTCGGAACGATTATTAGTGTTGGAACTTAAAGATAAGGATAAAAGCATAAGAACTATTATAGTTGTGTATGGACCCAATGAAGACGATTTAATAGGTAATAAAGATAAATTCTGGGAAGATTTAACCATGGCCACAGAAGATGCAAAAGGAAAAAGTAATAGGAAAACATGGCGAAAAGGTTAGGAATAATAATGAAGAAAGACTGCTTGATTTTTGAGTGCTACATAACTTTATAGTAACTAATACATTTTTTGAACATAAAAAGATACATAAATATACACGAGAGATGAAAAGCAGAAATGAAAAGTCGATAATAGATTATGTATTAGTAGAAAAAAATAATACCAAGGTTAGAAGAGGGCCGGAAATAGGTAGTGACCACTTTCTACTGGTCACAAAAATTAGAGAGCCAGTAGAGAATACAAAACATGATTATCAAAAGATAGAGAAAAAATAGAATATGAATCATCCAAATATGGAATGTGAAGTTTGTAAGGATACTAAACTAAAAACCTATAAGTGCGATTGTTGTAGAAAATGCCTCTGCAAAACTCACAGTGGACTTACTGCCTCTGAAATAAAGGTATTGGATCTGAAGGAAGGAAGAATCATGAAATTTTATTGCTCTAAGTGTGAAAAACTCGAAACACACGTACTCTTACAGAAAGTAAATGAAGACAAACAGAAAATCATAGAAAGTAAGGAGGAAATAATTCAATTATTGAAACAAAAAATCCAAGATCTAGAAATAAAGATTGACCAAACCAATAAAGAGACGTCTGCCCCATTGTATAGCCAAATTACGGCTTCAGGTTGCCCAAGTCAGCGGGAAAAAGAAAACAGCATGAATATACCAAATTTGATCATAAAACCAAAGAATAGGCAAGAAGCGATAAAAACTAAGAATGAGTTGCAGCTTAGAATAAAACCAGCTGAGTTAAAGGTAGGCATAAAAAGTACCAGGTCAACAAAAAATGGTAGTGTCATTATAAAGTGCAATAGCACAAATGAAATTGAAACGCTGAGAAGAGAGGCGGAAGAAAAATTAACCAATTATGATATACTAGTAACGAAGATGAGGAAGCCCAAATTTAAAATAGTGGCATATAGCGAAAGTTTATCGAATTGTGAGGAGATTGAATCTTGCATCAAAGAACAAAATAATTTTTTCAGTGAAAATGATGACTTGACGGTTACATATATTAAGCCTATAAAGAAAAACAACACAAAAACTATATACTGCGAATGCTCAGCTAAAGTATTTACAAGAATTATGAATTTGAAGAAAATATTTATTCAATGGGAAAGGTTTCCTGTTTTTGAGGACATTGAAATACAACGATGCTATAACTGTCAGGAATATTACCACAAGCATACTGCTTGCAGAAATGATACAGTGTGTGAATATTGTGCTGGCAGTCATAATATACATGAGTGCCCAAAGAGCTCAAAAAAATGCAATAACTGTGTCAACTCAAATACTAGGTATAAACTAGATTATGATGTTGATCATTTGTCAAGTGATGTGAACTGTCCATCTTATCAATACCTCCAAAAGATTCTAAGAAGCAAAATAGATTATAGTGGTTGTTGTAATGGCTAGACAACATGAAATTAATATCCTTGAAGAATTACAAAATCGGGATGATGCATCAGTTACTCAGGATAGTATTGATTGTGATGAGGTGGTTGCCAGGGTAAACTTGAATGGAAAGACCTTAAATATTATACATTTCAACATACGTAGTATCCGGAAGAATTTCAATGACTTGCTAGTGTTTATGGAGAGTTATGGACTAATTTTTTTTGACATAATAGTACTAAGTGAATGTTGGCAGATTAACGATAAATTGTTCAATATTGAGGGATATAATACATATTATAATAATGCAAGCTACAACCAAAACGATGGCGTAATAGTCTTTGTCAAGCAATGCTTGAATGTGTGTTTCCAGAATGGTAAGTTTGAAAGCTCGGGAGTGACCTTAAGTAGGTTTACTTTCGAGAAAGATAACTTGAGTTATGGAGTCACATGCGTATACAGGCCTCCAGCTACGAATGTTCAATTGTTTCTCACCGATTTGGAAAGCCATTTCTCAATGACTTCCAATGGATCTGATACTGAGATTTTTCTTGGTGATATTAACATAAATTTGCTTGAACAGAATGAAAACTCAACCACATATCTCTCAATTTTGAACTCTAATGGATTCAACTCTGTCATCAATGGCCCAACCCGTGTGACTCCTGACTGCGCCTCTTGTCTTGATCATATATTTTTAAAGTTAAAATCAATAAAAGGTTCACTGAAACACACCTCCTATATAGTGAATGCCGCTCTCACTGACCATTTCCCTGTCATGTTAAATTTATTTCATGAAAATAACAAACAGGAAAACAATTATTCATCCTCATATGTAAGTAAGACTATTGTTAAAGTGAACTTTCAAACCTTTAATGAATTGGTTAGTGATCAGGACTGGTCTACTATCATGGAGGTGAATGATGTTAACAGTGCAGCAGATAACTTCGCTCAGTTAATTGCGAGCTGCTTGGAGGGGGCCAGGGAAACAAAAAATGTAAGATATAGACATTATAAAAAACTAAAACCATGGATAAGTAACGGGATAATTAAAGCTATAAAAAAACGTGATAAAATGAAAAAACGGCTTCAGGCAGCTCATAATAATAATAATACTCATGATCAGATTGTATTTAAAGCATATCGAAATAAGTTGCAGGGGATTATTAATAAATGTAAAAATGACTATTATAGAAGGGAAATTGGAAATTGCAGTGGGGATATCAGAAAAATGTACACATTGATCTCTGAGGCTTCAAATGAAATAAAAAATAAAAAAAATGATCTACAAATAAAAATCAATGATGTTCAGTTTTCTGATAACAAAGCCATGGCAAACTACTGCAACAATTTTTTTGTGAATGTGGGTGAAAGAATGTATGAAAAAATTAAAACGCCCTCAGATTCCTACAGGCTGAATTTTGAGTCTTGCTCCTCCATGTTCCTGCGACCAGTGAATGAATTCGAGATAATTGAACAGATAAACTCCCTGAAAAATAATAGCGCACCTGGAATTGATGGTGTCTTTGCTAAATTAATAAAACTATCACATGTTCATTTCCTTAAGCCGATAGTTCACATAATAAATTTGATTTTTAGAACGGGTAAGGTGCCTAATCAATTTAAAATCTCAGTGGTTACTCCGATACACAAGGGAGGCGACAAGACTGATATTAATAACTTCAGACCTATTAGTGTTATAAGTAACTTTTCAAAACTGTTTGAAAAATAGGTTAGTAGACTTTCTAAAAAAAAACAATATACTGT